GGTCGCAAAATTGACCTGACCTTAGGTCATCGATATCAAAATTCTGAGATATACATTTTGTACATTCTGTTGCTCTTAGCAATCGCTGAAAGTTTCAAAGCGATCGGTCACTCGGTGTAGCTGTGACAGACATCGAAACTTTTTATGAGGTGAGGTCACTTCAAGTGACCTGGTGACCTGACCTTGAATGACCTTGGTCTGAAATTTTTACAACATGTGTAGAATTGATGTATGATAAGGTGTACCAAAAACGGCGGCGCTCCGCGCCGCCGTTTTTGAGATATTCGCGAAAAACCACAAGGGGGGGTGTTCAAACACCCCCCCCCCAGCAGGGCGCGGGTTAAAGGTACCTACAGGACAATGGGCTTGACCTGAATGCCGCGAATGCCATGGATACGGCTCTGCTCTGGAGGGTGAGGGCCGAGGGGCGTCATGTTTTTTTTTCTCAATAGGACGCCCAATTGCCTGTAATCTTCCAAGGGGCGCCTGTTACGCTTTGCAGATGCGTCCGTGGTGTTGACAAGTGTGCCGAGCGCCCTGATAACGTTACATGTAAGGCGCGCTTTAGCACTACCAATACCTACCCACGACCCGTGCACCTGCGCCCCACACAAACCTCGCAAGCAACATGGTAGTGGATTGCATACTTAACATAAATCCCTGAGGTGCCCTTTCAGATCCCGACATCGCCCTGTCAGTATTATGTGCGCACCATTCAGAGTATGTGACGTGCCCCTTCCGAAAAAAAAAATGTTGCCCCCTCTTGATCACTCGGTACGCCATTCAACACCACCGACGTGTCTCTAAAACGTATCAGGCGACCCACTGAAGATCACGGGTGAGTGGGCGCCCCATTCATATCGCTGGCGTCCCTCTCAGAGCATCAGGCGCACCATTAAATATCACTGACGCCCCTCCAGAACATCCGGCGCCCCCATTTAAGATTACTGTCACCCCTCAAGAACATCCGGCGCCCCTCTGAACGATTACGCCCATTCCGGGGGGGGGGGGGGGCAGGGCACTCGGCACACTTGTCAACACCACGGACGCATCTGCAAAGCGTAACAGGCGGCCCTTTGAAGATCACAGGCGATTGGGCGTTCCATTGAAAAAAAAACATGACGCCCCTCATCCTCCAGAGCAGAGCCGTATCCAGCATTCGCGGGCATTCAGGTCAAGCCCATTGTCCTGTACCTTTAAATTTGCCCCCCCCCCCTTGGACGCTAAAGGCGCCCTCATATTATGCATGGAAAGAAATGACTTGAGTTTTGAATAGTGCGGAGTTCACTCCCAGACCGCACTGCAGGAGTTTTCCAAACAGCCCCGCAAGAAAACCTTCGTGCTGTAGGTAACTCACGACACCGGACACGCAGTCTCGACCATAGTAAGTGCCACCGGTGCCCGTCACCGTCACCAGTGCCGTGCCCGCCGTCTTGGTCTCTGGCTGCTGCTGTCGTTAGTAGTTATCAGTTTACCGTCGCCGCAGTATTGAGTCGATATTAATATATGCACATGCATGTTTAAGATAGGTACTATCTTAAACCGACGTGATATTTGTCTCAATCAGCATTTAGGCATTCTGAAAAAAAACAGAAAGTGATCGTGAACAATGCGTGAAAATCAAACGATGCACACAAAAAACGGGGCGGGGGGGGGGGGGTAAGGAGGGGGAGGCGTGTGTGGGGGGGGGGGGGCGAAGGCAAAGATTAGTTTTGTTCATCTGTTGCTGGGGCAGCAGTTGATCCGTGGCGATATTGTGCCAAGGAACGCCGCTGCCGGGAGAATGCAGCTAACACCGGCATTGCAGTCTCCATTATGCCCTATGAGGCAAACTTCGAGGCCGTTGAGGCAGACGCAAACGTTGAGCTAGGAAGCTGAAATTTTGCACACTTCTTATTGGGCCAACAAGCAATGGGAAGACACCAGGGGAGCTGGTCTTCCAAAAACTTTATAAAATATGACGGGGCCTAGGCACCCACAGACTGCAGTGGGCACCCATGGACTGCTGTGGGCACCCACAGACGGCTGTGGGCACTCACAGATGGCTGTGGGCACCCGCAGTCTGGCTGGCGCCCAGCCGGCCCGGCGTCGGCGCCGCGGGGAACAATTCACAAGGTCAGAGCGTCAATGGCTCGGCGTTTAATCTCAGCGCGACATTGACGGAGCCGATACGCTGGGTTACGGCCGAGCGACCTGTCGCACACAGCAGGGCCGCTGATCCCAGGACCCTGAAGGAAATAGGTTAACTATCTGCCGTGTCATAACGGCAGAACGGCCGCTCGGCCCCGCCCACGCGTCTCTGACACACTGGTAATGGATGGGGCGGGGCGGCACGGGGGCAGGGCAGGGGCGGGGCAGGGTGGCGGTCGCCGCTCAGGGGCACGCCGCCGTCTCCGGTAGGTAGTGGCAGTGTGACCTCCACGTAATCACACAGTACTTATTACTTCCATGGCGTGCGAGACGAGGAAATGGTTTGGCCGGGTGCTGTGACCTGTAGTTGGGTGAACGCCACCTGCTCTGGGAGTGTTCAGGGATAGCTAATGATCGATTGGTTGTAGACAGGCGGATACACAAGGGGCGCTGAGTATGTGACTTGACTGATAGTGAACAATCTACTTACCATCTACAATCACACACCGTTATGAATCTGAATCTATGTCAGCTTCCGACTCCTCTGTCCCCAGGTCTCTTATCCTGTAGAGTGTAAACTCAAAGTCTCCGGCGTCAATGCCACGGGATACCTACTCGTAGACGGTCACTGCTCACTTTCATCATATGGCGAAAGCTCTCACTGGAGCAGACTTTCGTCTAATACTGAAATGTTATATGCTGAAGAAGTCTCACCTGGCCAAAAGGTTTAACCCCGCAAAACAAATGATTTATTCGCCGATTATCTATAGGACAAAAAACAGAAGTGACTGATAATGACGGCAGTGAAAGCAGTCGATCAGAGGGCGGCACGGAACCACGGCAGTATAACTTCACGATTCGGGACTCGGGTGCAGGTCTCACTCTTGGGTAATGCTATCTTTAGATAAATAGATAGGTCTTAGACTGTGACGGATCCAATCGAAACATGCTGATGTGTTCATTCATGTAGGGTAGTCTGGTGCAATTATCGGCCTTATGGAACATTTATTTCGTTTTAGCTATGTTACAGGGAGTTTGAGAAATCCGTGAGTTTGCAAACTCCCTAGTGAGTTTGCAAACTCCCTAGTGAATTTGTAAACTCCCTAGTGAGTTTGCAAACTCACTGATGGGTCAGGGAGTTATCGGGGTTATCACTGACCGGTCAGGGAGTTTGAGAAATTTCAGAGTGATTGGGCCAAATAAAAACAAGTGTGCAGCATGTGGGTGGCATACGTGCCGTCCGTGATGTTAAAAACAAAGGAGGCTAGCTCTAAGGCCTCGCACGCTGACAAAAAGCTTATAGATCATATGCACACCATAAATACCTTTTTTTATTTGAAACTGTTCAGTGATTTACCCATGCATGTACCGCCGCTTTATTTAGTTATACATTTATTTAGTTCACGTCCCAATTAGACCCGTTCCACTCAAGTGCGGCTATTCCAGAGTCAGGCTAAATATATCAAAGTAGAAACAGCTGACTGTTGGTCACTTATGCTAAAGTACAGGCACACGCATCAATTCACGCCCATTCCCACTCCGCCATAGACGTGTCATCGAGAGCCGGCGCTGCTGGCAGCCAGCCCAGCTGCGACTGGCGCACGCTGCTTGTTTGTTTTTGTTTTGTTGGGTTAGGCCCTTTCGGTCTGACAAGACCATTTCAGAGTCGGACGAATGATAGGAATTATAGGGGGAGACATTGGTCTGGGCAGACACCCTATATGCAGAGTCGCCGGGGCTGAGCCCGTCCGAATTGACAGACCGACCAGCCCCCCAAGCACTCTCTGCACCCGGCTACGGGGTGCGTGCGCTCCCTCGGGAGCAGCGGTGCCGCTCCAAGGGAGCAGCCCGCATGAGATAAAGGTGCCTGTCCAGCCCGGAGTGGGGGTTTCGGCGTGGACGAGAAGGATTTCAGTATCCTGATTCCTGAGGATGGAAACGACGGAACGGAGGAGCACGTTGCTCCGAACCTCCCCTTTACATAGCCGCGAGTAGCATTTTTTTCGGTAAAACAATGAAGGATCTGTAAGCTTTTTGTCAGCGTGCGACGGTTATATAGGCCGTACCACTAGTCGCTTTTGTTTTAACATCACGGACGGCACGTATGCCACCCTCATCTTACACATTTGACTTTATTTGGCCCAATCGCTCTGGAATTTCTCAAACTCCCTGACCGGTCAGTGAGTTTGCAAACTCCCTAGTGAATTTGCAAACTCCCTAGTGAGTTTGCAAAGTCACTGATGGGTCAGGGAGTTTGCAAACTCACTAGGGAGTTTGCAAACTCACGGATTTCTCAAACTCCCTGTAACAGCTATATGGCATGGGCCTTGGATTGTTGGAACATAGCAATGATAACATATGCAATATGCATGCTATGAACTTTTGTTCAGTGCATCGTTATTGCATACTAGATTGTGCATGCACCGAATGAGGGAAAAGGAAACGGCTTCTACGGTGCAGCGAAATGAATCATTTTAAGATTTTTGATACACCATACGTGTATCATGATGGAATGGGACAAGAAAGAAGCTTCAGGAGCGTATTGGCATTGTTTCCAACAAGATCAGCTTCTTTGAAGCGCGTAATATTGGGCGGTCCTAATATGAATCAAGTTATGACCGTGCTAATACACAAGTAAGCTGTAAAATGCCAGGGGCTCCTTTGATCTAAGCCTGCGGTCACGCGTGAACCAAATCAGTCATCAGTTATACAGGACCGCGCCCCCGCCTCGGCGTATGGCAGCCCCGCTACCGGTGGGCGGGTCAGACCGTGACCTAGACCGTGAGGGGGCCCGCTCGCCGTATAAAAGGTGTCGGACCGTGGCAGTCGGCACCAGTTGCTCTGCACACTCGTCCAACCAACCAACCAACATGAAGGTAAGACATAGCGCAGCATCAATTCAAAATGGGCTTCTAGATTTGGTCTGTCGGTGCACACTGTTTTATGACTAGACAATGAGCTTGCTTGATTGACAAAAATTGTATCAAGGGTCGGGAAAAAGGTGTCAAACACTTGGTGCAAGTAACTTTGTGCCTTTATAAATTTGAACAGGGCTTTCTGTTCTGTTCTGCTGCGGTTTTTGTTTTGAGTGAATGAAAAACGTATTTTAGATGACGCAATGCTGTTTGAAATTGAAGTTTGCTATTGCTTGACATTATTCATGTACACAACCACATAAAGTTACGGTGAACATACCAAATAAGTGCGGAGAAAACAGCGATGAATACTTTGTCGTACGTTTCAGGTGTTCCTTGTTGCCGCCGTGCTGGCCGTAGCTGCCGCCGATTCTCCGGCTCCGTACCACCCGACTCCGGCTCCGTACCACCCGGCTCCGGCCTACAAGCCGGCTCCCTACCACCCGCAGACCCAGTACAAGGAGGAGGCCAGGCCGTTCGCCTTCGACTACGCCGTCAACGACCACTACACCGGCACCAACTTCGCCCGCAACGAGCAGAGCGACGGTCACAATGTGCAGGGCTACTACTCGGTGGTTCTGCCCGACGGCCGTACCCAGCATGTCAAGTACACGGCTGACCACTACGGTGGATACAACGCCGAGGTCACCTACGACGGAGAGGCCGCCTACCCCGAGCAGCACTCTGCCTACAAGCCGGCCCCCTACAAGCCGGCCCCCTACCACCCGGCCCCTGCCTACAAGCCGGCCCCCTACCACCCGGCCCCTGCTTACAAGCCGACCCCTGCCTACAAGCCAGCTCATTATTAATTCATTGAGTCACATTTTAGGCAGCGAATGATTCGAGAATGAGATATTTATCATGATTTGCTAACGTGCTGTAAATAAATGTCAGTCATGTCCATCCCTGTGTTTAGATGTTTAAATGAAAAGGATCACTATTCAGCAGGTATAACTGTATTCTTATTCGTATATCCATGCATTCATTCATAAATGGTGGGCTTATGTACAGTTGAGGAAGGGTGAATAAGTAAATTGTTTGCACGAGACCGAAGGACATAACGCCACTCATAAGGCGAAATCGGCCAAACTATACGTCCAAACATCGGCTCACACGAGTGTAGTTTCTGTCCAATTTACCGATCACCAGGCAATCGACCGGCACAAAACGGTATGTCGAAGAATAAACGGGCTCTGAGCAACACAACCGCTAAGTAACATAAACAAGCCCTTTGCGACGCGATGCAAGCAATACAGACGCTTGTTATATGCTAAAGCATTTACACTGCAGACTTAACTATCTGTTGCCCATAGTATTGCACGCATGCGAAACCAATAACAAAAATTAGGGTAGGGTGGGTAATTGGAACATGTGGGACAATATGAAGATAGTATGAATATCACAAAATAACGGAAAAACCATAAGTAACACGACAATAAGACCAACGAGGGAAATTATCGTAACTAAAAGGGCTATCATATGAACGGAGTTTAAAGTTTTAGGGAATCAAGATGTTGACGCACACTGCACAAAATCAATTTCGCAAGTAAAAACGCCCAACAACACGTCATCGCAACTTCGCTGCAGTGCTAAATCTTACATTGCTAGCGCCTAATACGCAACGGCTTTTGTTGTTCAATGAACTAACAAGTGCCATCAATCCCAGAAATTTGCTTTTGCTTTTGAAACGATTTTAAATATGGCTAAATTCATTTTAGCGTGGGGTAATTTGAACACAGTGTGATAACTTCAATGAAGACAAGGATAGCTCCGAAAGAACAACGCTCCTGTTTTTGTTTTTTTTTTTGTTTTTTTTTGCCAGTATTTCGACCCAAAGCAGTAGCAGATAATATGCAAATTTAAAAAAAATGTCTAATATCCATCCAATGTCCGTGCTAGCCATCGTTCCTCTGGCGGTTATCGCCAGTAGTTATCCGCATAGAATACACGTGGACGTGTGGGAAGGCGAGCAAGGACCTCGGTCTTAAATATCTATTTACTCAAGACTAGTTTGTTCAGTAAGACGCGACTTAATAGCACCGTTCGCTGTCATGGAAACACATGGTTGCAGCCACCACTAGACGAAGCATCCTGTTATAGTTTAACCCTCGCCCGTATTGGCCTTTTTACAGCGTCTAAGGTAGGGGGGGGGGGGGAGGGTCCGTAGGCCCTCTCCTACCATTCGGCCCCTGATTGAGCTAGAGCTTCGCGAGCTTGCTGCCCGTTACAAGAGCAAGCCGATGATACCCATTTTTAGAGTTCTAGGCCATTGGCTGACCTTCCAGGTTAGGTCAAAGACCCAAAAGTCGGGGAAATCGGGACCTGCTAGAATTTCGTACAGTGTGATTGTTACGGTTTTTGGGGCGTTGATCACGTATTTCGTGTTGCATAATTTCTTCATGCATTTAGAGCATGAGTGAATTCGCCACGGGCCGCAAAATCCCAGTCCAGCTCAGCCCAGGCCCATAGGTTCACAGCCCGGCCCAGCCCGAGCCCATTCATGATTAAAGCGTCAAAGCCCAGCCCGGCCCAGCCCGTCAAAAATGAATGGATTAAAAATTATTGACACCACACAGGTATCCAAAGGTAGCAAAGAAACCATCTTTTTCGAGCAGCATGCACAATGCACATTGCATGCGTGCTTTATGAACTCGTTTTTAAGTCTTGCACAGTAATAAGCTATAGGTAAAGTTATAGTTTTTGTCTCAGTTGCGAACCCCTGACTCCACTTTACAGTTCTTGGCCCAGCTATCCACAGCTTATCGATCCCTAATATTTGAGGGCCCAGCCCAGCCCAGCTCATGGCCCATTGGGCTGGCCCGGCCCATGGCGAACACTGATTTAGAGATTATGTATGTTGTAGGTCGAGCCAGGTCGGGTCAGGTCAGCCAGCAGGCATTCTGCCGACTATCCATAGTAGGTGTCAACCACCACTGACAGATAGGAAACATGTTACGTAGACTCTACAACTATACTTCGTGAATATTCAAATGGGCGCTAAATTTGAAGTCAGCTCCTAAAGTTATCACAGGAAGATGTAAAGCTCGAATAAGTGAACTTCATCTAAGCTCAGCGACCGTGACCTGACCTTGACGTGGAAAAAACGGATAGTGATTTTATACGAGTATGGTGGCGGGAGTAAGGTTTGACAGCTACGCCAGGCTGACTGTCTGTGTGTGAAGTGACCTTGACACTAACTATAATGCATGGGCCAAACATCATTTCGCATATTTGAGCGTGTACAACCACAAAAAGATTGGAAACGCGAGGATAAAGTGAGCTGACATACGTCAAATCACGATTCCGAGCAAAACATAGCCTCGAGAAACAAGTCACAGGTCGAAGGTAAACTGGGTCAAAGTCATTAATTTTTTAGGGTAGGTGTAAACATAATCAAATCAAGGGTACTAAAAGTTTCGTGGCGATTGGCCGCTTCTTAGCATGAGTTATTTGCGAAAAACCTAGGAAGGGGTTCCGTTCGACACCCCTCACCCGATCACTGTGAAGGTTAGGCGCCAGTCAAACTTTGATTTGAGCCCAAATAAGAGCGTGCTATTGTTTTCGTATACAAATAAAAACATCGGGCAAAAAGTTAGCGGCCTGTGTTGTTAATTCCACTTTAATAAAAGAAAACGATTAACCAAAATTAGCCCTAAATTTGTAGAAATAATGACTGAAATGTCACTTGTTGCACACAAAATAAATAATATCCCAATTTTGAATCCTCAATTGGCTCTGAAGTAGTGTCTTGAACTTTTACCTATATATTGTCTCCAATTGGGGTCAGCGGCATGCAAAACTATATGAGTCACCGTACACCATGACTTATATATCCTAATCAAGCGTAGTATCCTTGTGCTAATTATCGGCAGCTACATACACTATCGATCAGCTGAGCACCGTGTCAGGACCACACCCCTGTGCCGGCGTATCGCGACGCTGCGTCCGGTGGGTGGGTCAACTGATGACCTTGACCACCAAGGGTGTCTGCTCGCCGTATAAAAGGTGACGGACCGTGGTAGTCGGCACCAGTTGCTCTGCACACTCGTCCAGCAAACCAACCAACATGAAGGTGAGCTATATCCTAGATACTTCTCACATAGAACAGCACGACTCACAGTCTCTTCAAAGTTCATTGTAGCTCCAAAACGTGTTCAGTGCACAAGTTGCTGGTATATTATGGTACGTACGTAGCATCATAATACCGATAAAAATTTAATGAAACATAAGAAAATTTCGGAAGCAAATAAAAGCACAAGATCAGAGATTGTGTCTGACCTTGCTCTCCATCCTGATCTTTTCGAATTAAAGCGACATGGATGCATGCAATATTGCGTAAGGCCAAAGATGTAGGGTTACCAATACCTGTATCGTTTCTGACCGGCACAGCGCTGCTTAATTCCTGTTTTGTAATTTTGATATGCATTATAACATACACTGACACTTTCAGACCAATATATGAGATGACAAAATGTTATATTTCAGGTGTTCCTCGTTGCCGCTGTGCTGGCCGTGGCCGCCGCCGATTCTCCGGCTCCGTACCACCCGACTCCGGCTCCGTACCACCCGGCTCCGGTCTACAAGCCGGCTCCCTACCACCCGCAGACCCAGTACAAGGAGGAGGCCAGGCCGTTCGCCTTCGACTACGCCGTCAACGACCACTACACCGGCACCAACTTCGCCCGCAACGAGCAGAGCGACGGTCACAACGTGCAGGGCTACTACTCGGTGGTTCTGCCCGACGGCCGTACCCAGCACGTCAAGTACACGGCTGACCACTACGGTGGATACAACGCCGAGGTCACCTACGACGGAGAGGCCGCCTACCCCGAGCAGCACTCTGCCTACAAGCCGGCCCCCTACAAGCCGGCCCCCTACCACCCGGCCCCTGCCTACAAGCCGGCCCCCTACCACCCGGCCCCTGCTTACAAGCCGACCCCTGCCTACAAGCCCGCACATTATTAATGCAGTGTTGCTTGGTCTAAGGAGTAAATGAGTTGTGGAATGTACTATTTATCGTGTTGATAAATGTATTGTAAATAAATGTTTGTATTCGCATAACATTTGTGTACTTGCATTATCTACTGTCCGAAAGCGTTCGATGGCCGTACTAAACCATAAACCGCTACGGCTTTAGAATGATTGCAAAAACTGCTTTAAAAACCATTCGTTATAATACGGTCTTCTAGAATTGATTGGTTGACTACTCGTACTCCACCATCTTAAACCGGCAGTTTCTGGGATATTTCGGCACCCATCACTTGGTGTGTGTGTGTGGAGGGGGGCATTAAATGCCCGGGGGCATTAAATGCCCCCAGCCGATATCTCGAGAACCAATAAGCGCAGCGAAATGGGCGAGACAGCAAAAGAAAGGACGCAACGAGACGCTCCTGATGAGTACTTAAAAGTTAAATTTAGATGTCGCAAGTCGGGTCAAGATCAGGTCAAACACCTGCCAAATTGGATTTTCAGTAGCATGACCTTAAGCACCACGTGCTTGGCATTTCTAGTCATAAACTCTGTCAGAATTGTGCAAAATCTTTATCCTAAAATGCCACGCGAGTGCTAGATTCGTGCAGGGGGCATTTAGGCATTGGTCAGGGTCAAGGTTAGATAAATCAGGTAGGATTATAACCCCCGAAAATTAAAGTGCGCATCCGCGCACATGATATACCTATGTTTTATGGGTACTTTTAGGCGTACTATGGTGACATCCATTTTATCATGCGAGTACATTTTTGGTAAAAACGAGCTCAACTTAACGAAAACATGCACCGGGACCACGAAGTAATCACCAGAAATTCCCAAGGTTCAGTTCATATCT